CTTGAAAGAAATTTCTATGTGGAATCCTATGTAAATGAACTTAGCTGTAGCAGCAGAAATCCTAATCTAGTTTACTAAAATCCTATTTTAGTTTATTAAAGTTACAAATGTGTGTAAGGATTCCTAGATTTTGTTTTTTGGCAAACTGATGCATGTAACATCAATACTACTGCCAAACCCTAGCACATAAACTTAGATGAAATATACACTAACATCCACTGTCACATCAGAACAGGCTGTGCTCATCTATTACACAGTAAATAAATATAGCAGGGATTTGCAATTGGTTTCATCTCCCCAACACATACCAGCATACACACAGTGAAGTAAAAGGGACACATGTAGCCACTTCAAATCTCATAATGCGCAGTCTGTAACAAAGAAAACATCTGGAGCCACTGGTCTGTCACTATGCATTGGAAGTTCTATTTTATTGCCTTCTAGTTACAAGTTGGTGTCCTACCACTCATTTCTGATGATGGAAGAGCACTTCTATCATTGAGTCCGGGGTATTTTTTGCCAATTCTCCCTCCCCACTGCAGATCCCCCCTTTGCCTCATGCTGTTCCTGGGGGTCTGCTGAGCACCAGGAACAAAATGGGGGTGGTCCAGTGGGCTGCAGCAGGTGGGGGAAGCAGGAAAGTGCCAATCCATGAGCTAGTCCCACTGAATACTAATCATTACTCTGCAGTAACCCTCCCCCAAGTACAATTATACAGTGCAGTGCCAGAATTATATACATTTAGTTCATGTGCATTTCCAAGCACCTGTTTAACCCAATTTATTCCAGTCCTCATATTACCTAGTAGCATACTATTTCAGAAACACACACACACATGAAAATGCTACCAAAATATTGATGGTAAAAAATACAGCTTCCCCATGTGCAGAATGTTAGCTAAAGAATTTGTGAAAAGATATTCAGGGTCTTGTAGGATTGTCCCATATTTTCTATTTTGTCACATGCCCTTTTCAAACCAAGAGTCTTGAGTTAAAATCTCACCCCCACCCATTAATTCAGTAGATGGCTTTCGGCAACCTGCCATTTTTTAGTCTCAGTCCTCTCTCACCACCCTCTAAACTGTTGACTGTTGTGAGCAAAAATCATACTTCGTGAGCCAAAAAATCTATGAGCATAAAAGTTCAGAGTGAGCCTAATTTTTAATTTTTTAAAATTTCAGTTTGGAAAGGGGAAGAAAGAAATGGAAAGAAAGGGAAAGGGGGAAAGAAGGAAAAGAAATGGAAAGAAAAGGAGAGAAAGAAAGGGGAAAAGAAAGATATGGAAAGAGAGGAAAAGAGAAAGAAATGGAAAGAAAGGGAAAGGGGGAAAGAAGGAAAAGAAATGGAAAGAAAAGGAGAGAAAGAAAGGGGAAAAGAAAGATATGGAAAGAGAGGAAAAGAGAAAGAAATGCAATTGCAGAAAGCTGGCTTGGAGAAGGCATGCACTTAAAAGTACTGTTGCTCTAAGTGCCTGCCTTCTCCGAGCCATACAATTGGAGAAAGCAGGCTTGGAGAAGGCAGGTCACTTAGAGGGAAAGTTCTGCCTTCTCCAAACCCACTCCTTGGCCCCCTGCACTGAGATGAAAATCTGTGTGCTGGGGGTCAGAAATTAGCACAATTTAGGGGGAACCCTGCTCACCACCCATCTGCAATACCCACCTAGCTTACAGGTATTATCGAGACTGTGTATGTGAATCACTCAGAACAGTCAACAGCACTGCATTAAGAGTTATCATTAACTCTCTGATTTAGATTTGTCAGTTATGATAGCTTGTTTTACACATTTTGCTTGGCACCCCAGTCTGTTTTCTCTCATCATCATCCTGACTCATAACTCTTAGGCTGTACTATACATGTCAGTCAGGTCTGCCATGTATATACCAGTGTCGCTCACAGCAAAGTATGACCACTATTCACATATCCTTAAACACCCAAGAACATGAGTCCAAGAGTCATACTGCAACTCCACAACACATATATACCTTGCCTGTCTGTCTGCTGTGGGTACACTGGTGTATCTGTAACAAATGTGTAAGAAGTATTTCTTAATTCCGATGACCAGCAACTACCAAAGCCACTACTGTATACTCAAACTTGATTGGGAAATCCTCTACGTGAAATTTCCCCATCAAATGCAATATCAATAGAGATGAATTCAAAGAGAGGACAGTAGTTATGCAAGATCTTGAAAGAATCAGAAAACCAAGCCGTTTAAGCTGTTAATAAAGTGACATTTAAAAACACCATTTGCAAGCATCTTAAGGAAATATTTATACTGGTTCTACTAAGCAACAGAATTATGAAAAAAACATATTAGCAGTTAATTTTCCTAATATTTAAATAAGGGAAGGAAAGATGAAACTTTGGCTTACTAGGAATCTACATCACTGATACACAGCATCCTAGGAAAGAGCCCTATAGGATCTTTCCTAAGCTTAAGGGCAAGGAACTCTAGGAGATCACTAAGAATATTTTTATGGGATCCCTAAGAATATTTTTCTAACACTAACATCTCACGATAACCAGCTAGCTAAACAATTCTTTTTCCTGGTGGAAAGGTTTCTAGTTAAAGAGGAAGGAAATATTCCAAAGGTGGTTCCAACAAAAGTAATCCAGATCTTATGTAAAGAGATGCTTCCACACTGGCATTCTTCTCTTCAAAGAAGTGAAGTCAGTTCTGCACGTTTTACAATAGCCAATAAGGGGGGGGGGGGAAACAACACCACAGAGCACAATCAGAGTGAATTTTTATATCCCACAGAGGGATTACTGATTGCCTTTTACTGAAACAAATGTGAAAGGACTATTGTCATTTTTCTAGTTACGCTGTGCATGACAAAAGGTGCTGTCTCTACAGAATTCATGCCATTATTCACCGCGGGTAACACTGTTTTGTTTCAGTTACCGTGTCATTCCAGAACTCAGGTCCCAGAGTTCCTGTGAGAAGGTGAGTTATTACAATACAGAGTTCAGACTCTGTAACATCAAATCTATGCATGAGGAAAAGAAACATTTAAAATCATTGTACTAAGAGATCTTTAGCTTAACAGTTCCATGGAACAGATTTTCACTGACAATTAATAATACATATTTGAAATAAAATAGACAGCTCTTTTAAAATGTTACAAATAGTTATTACAGAGGCCAATACATGGCCTGAAAAGCAGTAATGACTACAATCCACATCCAATTGAAGTCAGTGGTAAACCTCCCAATGTGTTCATTAGTCTTGGATTATACTCCTGAAAAGGAGTTTGAACATATTCCAAAAACAATAATAAAACAAACGTCATACAAATCAAAATAAAAGGTTTACATCTTCAACTCTAACTTAAATTTAAAGCAAATCCTATACATCTTCTACAGCAGCAGTTCTGAAATAGTTTACATACGCCACTAAAAACACACATCAACACATGCAAGCCATAAATTATGCTAAATGAGTGAAACAATAATTTTAAATTCTATGTAAAGTATGTTATATACTTTATATATATATCATTATAATTGGCTGTAATGAACTAGCAGCATAGAAAGGTCTGAGCCATGCAATTACATCAAACCAATGTCCAGGATATCCTTCAGGCTCTGCAGTGTTCTCTGACCTTGAACTTTATGGGTTGGCTTCTATGATCCAGAAACAGAATAAGTTTGTGGAACAGATCTCTCCCTCTTCCCTCTGTAACCCCCACCTGCTCCCAAAGCAGTCCGAGGGGGGCAGAGGACTCTTGGGAACAGAGTAGGATGTGGCATGGAGGCTGCAGCAAAAAGGACTCACCACTCCACAAACAGAAGAGTTAATGCAAGAAGAGGTGTTTCTGATTTCCGCTGACTTCCTGTCTAGCTGCAGCCCTACATGCTATGTTATACTCTAAGCCCCAGGATCCCTGATCCACAGGAACTTCTTTTCAGGAGGAAGGAAACAAGGGGAGAGACCTTTTCCATTAACTCATTCTGTTCATGGTTCACAGGCTCCAATCCAATATTTTTGACTGCAATATTTTAATTGCGTTATTTTAGTACTTCATCATCAGCCAAGACCACAAATATGCAACTATATGGCTTGAACATGTGCATAACTTTGCTTAAGAATCATCCCTGATGAGAGAAACTATGGGAAGGAAGTTTTATCAACAAGATTAAGAATTTATTGTGCTCTGTTTTACCTATTTGTAGGACAAACCGTAAATTGACCCGATGAAGCTCTCGTTATCTACATTCAGATCAGGTTTAATACAAACAATACTGGGCCATAGTCATTCTCCAGACTTTTGGTGCTTCCACTCTCTAGCAGCTCTCCTAATGCAGTGTGTGAGCATCTTTCATTCTTCTTTTTGAACTCATTTATAACCCAGACTATTTTCTGCTTTACAATTTCCATATGCTATTTAAGTCAGTCGTACTTTGTTTTGAACCATGTTGACATTCAGTCTAAATTTCAAAAACAGCTATTTTCAACTTCACAATTAATGGTTTGTCCTTTTGAAAAAATCACTCCTCACAGCAGCCAACTAGCATTACTACTTTGGAAAGTTGTAAGCATCAGAAGGCTGTGAGCTCTCATCATATTACATTAGCTCAGGTTTCAGGACAGGCACTAACTAATCAAGTGTTCACCCTATCCCTGGCCCAGAGCTCAGTAAGCACACTAAGGTCCATGCGTGAGGGCCAAAGACCACTGCACAGCACAAGGACATTTATCTTGAGCCAAATTAGATAAACTCTAGGAAGTAGAAAGCTCGGAGACAGAAGACGAATCAGGCCTGTGTGCACTTACCTGGAAGCAAGCCCAACTGAATTAATCTACGTAGCTAATTCTGAACCTGGCCCCAGAGTGTAGATCAAAAATCTACACAATGAGGCCAATTGTAGAAACGGGAGATACTTCTACAAATCTGGAGGTAGCCCCAGGTTTGTAGAAAAACCTTAAGTTGACAAAAGAGGAGGCGATAGAACTGTGAATGCATACTCACATACTTGACTCTTAGCTGGTTTACTTACATTCCAAAGCGCAACGTTCCAGAGACATATGTCTGCCAATGTGCACAGTAAAACATAAACGTCCCAGCAAAACAGCAAAAGAACATCCAGTCAGGATTTGTCCCCAGCTGCACAGCAATACACGTTCCCAAGACCACAAAAACTGCAGAGAAAATCAGTTACAATGAGCAAAGACTACAGGTTTTAGAACAAAAGCCTTGAGAAATAAATGTTGACATTAGTTCATCAATATGCTACTCAATATCCAGTGATATTAAATGGATTCTCTTACTTACTGCATGGTAAGTTTTTTTAAGCATAGCATTGGTATGTCAAAATTCCAAGATCAATGAATGTTCTAAGAAATAAATAAAATGTACAAGCTGGAAACAAACATCGCATACAAACCAAATTAACCAGGAGGGCAGGTGTGTTCTCAGTTCCATCAGAGTATATTTTTAAAAAACAAATGAATATTACTAGTAATACCACAATAGTATTACTAATAGTAATAATATTACGAATGAGCAACCTGATCATTTCCCTCAACATAAGTTCGCAACAGGCTATCAACAGGTGATTATTTATACAGAGCAACAAATGTGACCATCTCCTTAGGACTAATCCTGAACAAACTCCAGTGACTTGTTGATTCTGCAAGTATACCAAGGGAATGGGGAAACAAAGCTGCAAGGGGGAAAACTTACTTTCTATAGAAATCAACAGACTTTAGAAAACAGTTTCTATAGCTGAGTTTAACAGAAATTAATGTAAGTCCAAAATGTGGAAATATTATTTGTATTATTATGCTATAGATTTCAATATTCCTTGTTTGAAAATAAAATTTAAAATGAATCAATAGAGTGCTGAAATTGAATACAAATAGCTTCTCATCTAAACAGTTTTATTAAAAGAAAGTATTTTGAATACACACACCCTTCATGGATTTTAAGAAAGCAATCCTGAAACAGCAGGACACTGCTCATTGGGAGTGCACTTAGCCATGCATCCTTTTAAAGGCTGCAGGAATGTTCATGTCAATAAACTTTCTGTTCTATTATTCAAAGCCTACCCAGGCACGGAGTAGCCTAATCACAACATACTCTAATAGGGTTGGTTGGTTCAAGCACAGAGAATCTGAGTTACAGTTCTTTATTGTAAATGCAATGTGCTGTCTGTGCAACTGGAAGCTTGTTTCAGTTCTTTCAAAGTATTACTGAAGTGAAACAAAACTTACAAAGCTAGCACAGCCAGATATAAAAAGTATATTAAAAGGATTCTGTCTAAGCTTTAGCCAGTTGCCCTGCAGAAAAAAATCAGGGATTGCACAACTCTTTTGTTTCCAATATTTGGGAACTTCCCTGAGCCATAGTACATAAGCTAACAACCACACAAGAATGGAAATACAGCAAATACAGTTGTGTGAACAAATAACCAGAATAATCTGTCACGCTGTACAAATCACATGCAAGACTTCCATCTTCTTTTACAGTCCTACTTACAAACGATACACATAAAGATGCATAAATGACACCTACACCAGTTGAATAGTGACCTTATAGTCCTTGAAAGTACAAGTCTCTCTTTAGAATGATGCAGTCACTGGCTCATGATGCAGAGAAGACTTTCAAACAGAATAGCCATAGCGCAAACCGAAGGAGTGGCAACGGCATGCCTAGGTTGCTTCACCATTTCTTAGGGCTTCATCAGGCGTCTTTTCTTAGAAATGGAGCCCACCCAGCTCTGATAAGATTCAAAATGACACAAAGTCTACAAGTATATTCCAGATAGCTCTGGAATTTGGAATATACTTGTAGACTTTGTGTCATTTTGGATCTTACCAGAGCTGGGTGGGCTCCATCCCTAAGAAAAGCAGCCTGATGAAGCCCTAAGAAACAGTGAAGCAACCAAGGCATGCCGTTGCCACTCCTTTAGTTTGCGCTACGGCTACTCTTGAGCCCATGCTGTCCACATGCTGTCTTCTCTGCATCATGAACCGGTGACTGCATCATTCTAAAGAGAGACTTGTACTTTCAAAGACTTTCAGGTGTAGATGTCATTTATGCACGGTGGCAAAACCATTTGTTATGTGTATCACTTATGGTTGTAAGTAGAACTGTATAATAAGAAGACAGTAGTCTCAAGTGTGATTTGTATAGCATAACAGATTATTCTGGTTATTTGTTAGCACAATAGTATATAAGATAGCTCAGGATGTACACAGTTCGTTAAAACTTTACAACCAGCATTTGGGAGCCTTTACTCATTTAATTCTGATCTCTAGGATTTGCATAAGAAACAGGAAAAGGTTCAAAAAGGCAGTTATGAGATACTTTTCAATGATGAAAGTGAAAACTAAAAAAACCTGTTTCAGTTCAGCTCTACTGGGGAGCGTTGCCTATTTAAACAGCAAAATAGATATATTTTAAATATTTTAAGTGATGACATGATTTAACAATGAAAACCTTTGCAGAGTTACTCATGTCTAAGACCACTTATTTTGATGGGTTTACACAGTGTTTTAAGATTGCACTGCACATTACTGCACATTAAGTTAGCTAACCCAATTTAGATATGTGTTAAGCACACAACCCATATCTCTAAAATGTGGCAACAATATAATCTCTATTCCAGATGGGAAGCCAAGTTAATCTGCAGCAGCAAAATAAAACAGAAGTGCACTCATACCTTAAGGACTAACAAAACTTATTTCAGCATAAGCTTTGGTGAATCACGAAAACTTATGATATAATACATTTGGTTAGCCTTTAAGGTGGCATGGGACTCCAATATAATCACAGCACATTATTCGCTTTGCAACAGGATCCAATAATTTTTCGGTTTTCTAGTTTTGTATTCTACATACCCTCCAGAGTGTAAATAATTTAATAGACAAATGTCTTTTAGCAGTAAATACCTGTGGACAGTGAGTCACAGCCATGGTCAAAAAGTTCTCCCAAAGGGCTACTAGTATTTGTTCTTCTTGCTTGCTTTCCATCTATGGCATCCAAAGACTGGTATATGAAAAGACCACAAGCACATGCAATATATGCCCAAGCAGGTGCCTGAGAGAAATACATATGTGAACAGCAGTGAAATGTAGATTAGCTATATTTCTTACACGCTGCAAAACCATCCTTAATTGTTTGTAGAAGGGTACAAATACTGACACTTGCATGATATACAGTGGTGTATTGCATGAATAAAGGAAATTATATCAAAACATATTAATGATTAAAAAGGTGGCAACAGCCCGTCAATTTAGTGAATTGCTTGATAAACAAAGACTGCACCATAATGCTGCATATGGAAAATGAGTCTAAATATTGTTCTGCTTTCTAAAGCTTAATTTTAATAACCTGGGTATGTCAGAAACAATCAGCTGATCTTTCCTCACTCTCCATCTGCTAACAACGCAGAAAATTTTGCAGCTTTCAGAATACACATGGAAAAACTAGTAATAATTTTTACAAGGTCTGTTTTGTGGGGCCTCAGTGAAGCGTTAAAGCACTCACTTGAACAGCTGAACAGTTGCTTTCTGCTTGTGGGTCACCATAATCTGGATAGGAACTATTCACATCCACTGATGTTAATATATGGAGTAATTTGTTGTCCAGCTTTAACAGGTTACTTATATGAACCTTCCAAATCCCCAAGATCATTATTTTTTTTAATCATAGCTAAATGATAAGGTCCCCAATGAGCACTTGCTCTCCCAGCTGTCTGGGCAAACGTTTGATGGGTTCTGCCACGGGGTATCTGTATTTTGAGATGTTGCAATCTTATGAGCACTAGAAATATGGATTTTCAACAAAGGCCTTTAGTTGAGACTCAAGCCATCTAAATCAGTACTTCATAACATTTTAAAAACTGCTAAGTAAGTTTCAAGTGTTTCCTATATTTTATTACTGTGGCATTCTTTGTAACAGTCAAAGTGCTATTAAACACCCGTTTTCCTCCCAATTCCATCCTTGAAAATGCTAATATTTAACTGTAAATATGTATTGAAATAATTTACAATATGGGAGTTTTTCAAGAAATCTAAATATAAGAGAAGGGCAGTTTGATATTCCACAGAGAAACGATTTAAATTTTTCAAATTTATGACAAAACAACATGAAAAATATGGCAGAAGCTTGTTTGTTAAAGAGACCATGAAACACACGGGTAACATAGGACCCAGCTGCACATCACTACTACACATTTTTTAAAAAGATTATGTTAATCCCAAAATTTATCTTATCATCTTATGATGTACCGAGTTACTATTGTCTAAAGTTGGCATCTGACTGCAAACTTTCATACAAGTATTTTATAGTGTCTGTAGACATGAGATTACAAAAATATATAAGACAGAGACCGACATATTGGGGCAACATGACAGCAGTTATAGACAAGGGGAAACTTAACAAAGCTTTTCCTTTTTCTGCATTTTCCATGAATGGGTGATTAGAAAGAATACAGTACATAAGATAGCCTCATTGCTTTGCAGGAATAATTTTAATTCAAAAATGTATTATGTAGAGGACCATACAGAAAAATATGGTGTTCCACCAAAAAGTAAGCAAACCAGGATATTGATCTGTCTTTGCTACCAAATGATTAAAGTTTGCATTTTCATCTACCTAAAGCATAACTATATAAATAAATACCTGCAAATTCACTAAAGGAAGGTGGACAATCTTCGATTGAACTTCTCTAGCTTTCCCCTTAATACATCTAAGCAAAAGAACTGCTCTTAAAATTATGTCCTGATGTGAATTATTCTGACAGGAAAGACGAATACACAATACATTCCAGTTTAGCATTAAATGCTTTTCCTCCTCACTGTATATATTCCTTCAAAGACATCTTCCCTAAAATGTCATCTCTAACTGCAACCTCGGCATGTATCCAGTTAATCTCTTCGTGTTCTATGCAAATCTCATAAAAACCCAAGCAAATCCTCCGTCCTGAACATACTTGCGAGTACAGACAGCTACTCAGAGTCCAAGCAGCATTTTAACTGTAACCCAATACATGGCAACTTGTACTTCTCATGGTTACTGCTCATACAGATGTTTGCTAAATACCATGTTACATACTTGTACTTGCTTGTAAAGCAATCTTCTTCACATTATATTAAAAATAGCATAAAATTATGCTTGCAAACTGAGAATGTGCAAGACTGACATTAACAAACAAAACTGTGATACTTTCCTGAGCAATTACCCCATAGATGAGTTTCCACAAAGTAGCTTAAATATGTAGGACAAGCAGTGCAAGATAAAGGGTTTCGTATCCTGAGCTTTGAAGTTGTATTTCTGACAGTAATATATCATTCATCCTAGATTACTGTTTGAAGAAAAATGCCAGTGTTGCTAATGCTAACCGTGGTAATGAATGACAATATGAGAGAAAATCTTGTCAGAATTTTAGTTGCAGAGGGCAGGTCGAGCACCATTGGTTATTAGCACTCTAACAATGTTATCCTATGCAGAATCAGACCACTCTAAGTTTACACTGGAGTAACTCAGCATAAGATTGCACAGCAAATATTGTTACTGGCAAAGGCCAGCTACAGTTGGAACTGTCTAATACAACTACATGGGTAATTGAAAAGCAGCATTAGTAGTATTAAAAAGTAATATCTACTGCAGTTAGGCACAAGGCCACTTCTATTCTACAGTTTAATAATTACTTGAATGGAGATGACAGCACATTTCTCAAAAGCATTTTTCAAAAGAATTGCCAACACTGCTATAGAGTAGATTAAAATGTACAGTGACTTCAATACACTGGAGAGCTGAGCAGACAGCAACAGTGAAGGGGGGGCAATATGGTAAAGAAGTAAACATACAAGATACAAGGAAAATCTGGATAAGCAGCAGCATAGTTGGGGTTTGCTGGTAAATAACTAAATTGACATGAATCAACATATTTACCTGGTAGTACAGACAGCCAATGAAACATTTATGTTTATTAATGGAATCACTGTCTCTGGGACTAAAGTTATAATTCAACATATAAAGTCATATTTAAAGTACTATAATTTTGAGCACCCCAGTTAATGGAGGATATAGTCAAATTAGAAAAGATAAAATGGAGAATTATAAAGGTGATGAAGGTATGGAACAGCACAAAACAACCAAGTACCTTTACTCTAGGGGGGAAAACAAGATTTGCAAGGAATAAGGAGAACAGTTATTTCTTTTACTCACTGACAAGGTACAAAGTACAAAATGGTAACTACATTATTCAGCGTATCAGTTCAGCCACCAAACCACCTGCTCAGAGAGTCAAATTAGAAGAAATGCTGGACATATGCCTCCAACATCTTGCTAGACATCTGTAAGTTTTCCATACCACACCACATATTTATTTATTTACTTCACTTATACCCCACCTTTCTTATAATAACCCTGTGAGATACACTGAAATGGCTGGCCCAAAGTCACCCTGCAAGTTTCCATGGTAGCTTGAGAATTAGAGTCTGGGTCTCCCAGATCATAGTCTGACACTCTAACCACTGCACTGGCTCTCATTAGCCAGGGAATTTACATTGTTTAAATAGTGGTGAGGGGGGAGAGACAGGAAGTTAAATCCCCATCTCAGTATCTCTTCCCCCACAGCTGCTTTAAAAGAGAGAAAGACACAAATATGAGATCTGACTGTGGATCTTTAATGTCACATGTAGTTTGGAAAGTGTAAGGGCCGGTATCTGTCTGGGAAATAAGAGATATATTTTATTATCCTCCCACAGGACAAAAATATGAGTTATACAACACTCAGTGTCCTTTTCAAATTTTAAGATTCTATAATTTTTAAACACTATACACATGAACACACATGAAGCTTTCTTATACTGAATCAGACCATTGGTCCTTCAAAGTCAGTATTGTCTACTTAGACTAGAAGGTGCTCTCCAGGGTCTCCAACAGAGGGCTTTCACATCACCTACTGCTGGTCCTTTTAACTGGAAAGCAAAGGCTCTTCTACTGGGCCACAACCCCACTACCTTGACCAGATACGCTCAACATAATAATCCTTTACAAATCAGTAGTAATCCCTCTGTCACAAGTGAGTTTGCAACCACCAATCCTCCTTAACAGCTGTTAAGCTCTGTGTCAGCACAGGCAGATAAACAGGTATCTCAACATGAACAAGTTTCATTACTGCAGTGCTGAATAGTTTAGAGCTTATGTTGCAGAAATGTTATAACAAAAGTATAGCTGAGATCATGTGCTATGGAAAACTTCTTGGATTAAAGGAGTCTTAGAAAAATAATATATTTTTCATTTGTACACTTGATACTCTGGGACTCTTTCAGATTCTGTGACCACTGTTCTTCGTTTCCTCCAGATCCTGCCATTTATCACACACATCTGTCAGCAGATATTTCAGTGGTACTAATGTTAGAAAAAACTTGTGCAAATTGTATCACATTTTGAAATCAATGAGGCTTGAGTTAAAGTTACTTACATACTGATGTTTCTAAAATTTCCAATACATCGCATGTTATAAAGGCATAAACTACCACAATACGTAATACCAAAGCAAAAATACAATACTGCATATTTAAAAGAAACACAGCTCCTTCTCTCACAAGAAATTATCCGAGACCTTTTGCTTACCTGCTCTGTAGCTGTTGGACAGTAACACACTAATATTATTGTTGTACAGATGTTTATTATCAGTCCAACTATTGTAATCAGATTAGGAGCAATCCAAGATGGTACTCTTCTAACTAACCATTCCCAATAACCTTGCATTAGTGGCTCAAGCAGGGACCGTCCAGCACTTTGATACTTGTGTTCTTCTAACCGTTTTAACTGGTGCTTTGACAAAGGCGGTGTAGGCAACTGAATCAACTTGCTTAATGCACATCCTGCAGAAGGAACATGACCATAGCGCACAGGGGATTCCGAATGCAATTCCCCACATCGTCTCTTCAGGGATCGATTCCCACTCATGGATTTGTTAGCCTTGAAGTTTATATCTGATAGGTTTCAGCTTCTGTCAAGTCTTGAAAGATCCTGGTCTACCTGGAACACAAAGTATTTAGATTAATGTAAGAGACAGAAACTCTTCTGTACCAGGTTACCCTGCTTCTCATTTTGGTTTGCCAGCCACTGAGGTAGTTTCCTGCGTCCACTAAGCAAAGCTATAAGCAAATTCAGGAGAATCTGGGAAGAATCAGGAATTTTCTGAAATGAAATACAGAACAGAGAAACAGCAACACAAATAGATTCCATTCTATTAGGAATACAAGAATAAGGTGATGCCGACTGCTCCGCTGTCTTCTATTAGAAAAAACTAGAACTGCTCAATTCCTACTTTTCCTCAGTCTTCTCTTGTGAGGGAAATGGTGTTCAACATGGCAAAAACAGAACACATGATGATGGAAGTGAATTGCAGCCTAGGATTGGCATACGGGTAGTACATAAACACCAAGTAGTACATAAACACCTAGTTTCTTTAAATGGAACCTCAGGACCAGATGAACTGCATCCAAGGGTAGTAAAAGAACTCGCAGATGTAATTTCTGAGCCTCTGTCCATTATTTTTGAGAATTCCTGGAGAACAGGTGAGGTGCCAGAAGATTGGAGGCGAGCAAATGTTGTCCCCAAATTCAAGAAGGGGGAAAAGGAGGATCTGGGTAACTACCGACCCATCAGCTTGATGTCTATACCTGGAAAAGTCTTAGAACAAATCATCAAACAGTCAGTCCTTGAGCACTTAGAAAGAACAGCTGTGATTACACAGAGCCAGCATGGGTTTCTCAAGAACAAATCATGTTAGACTAACCTTATCTCTTTTTTCGAGAAAGTTACTACATTGCTGGACCAGGGGAATACTGTAGACATAGTTTATCTTGATTTGAGTAAGGCTTTTGATAAGATTCCGCATAATATTCTTGTTGAAAAGTTGGTAAAATGTGGTTTGGATCCTATGACTGTTAGGTGGATCTGTAACTGGCTGACAGATCACACCCAAAGAATGCTTGTGAATGGTTTTTCATCCTCTTGGAGAGGAGTAATAAGTTAAGTGCATCAAGGATCTGTCCTGGGACATCTTTATAAATTATTTGGAAGAAGGAACAGAGGGAATAGAGGGAATGCTTATTAAATTTGCAGATGATACTAAATTGGGAAGGGTAGCAAATATGGTAGAAGACAGAATCAGGATACAGGATGATCTTGACAGGCTGGAAAACTGGGCTAAAACAAATAAAATAAATTTCAACGGGGATAAATGTAAAGATCTGCATTTAGGTAGGAAAATTCAAATCCATAATTATGGTGGGGGAGATTTGTCATGGCAGTAGTATGTGCAAAAAGGATCTAGGGGTCTTAGTAGACCATACGCTGAACATGAGTCAGCAGTGTGATGTGTTAGCTAAAAGGCAAATGTGATTTTGGGCTTTATTGGGCTTTATTTTGGCCTGTATAGTGTCCAGATCATGTGAAGTGATGGTATCGCTTTATTCTGCTCTGGTTAGACCTCACCTAGAGTACTGTGTTCAGTTTGGGGCGCCACAATTTAATCTGGAATGTGAACAGAGGAGGGCAATGAAGATGGTGAGGGGTCTGGAGACCGTCCTATAAAAGGGGTGGCCAAACTTGCTTAATGTAAGAGCCACACAGAATAAACATCAGATGTTTGGGAGCCGCAAGACATTAACAAATACTACATGTTTTTACTGTAGTAAACAACCACTCACGGCCATCTTGTTGTCTGAAAGCACTTTATTACTGTTCTTATTGTTATTATTGTTATTATGTATTCTTAAGATTTTACTGTTTTATTGGATTTTATGTGTGGGCTTTTGCCCCTGTAAGCCGCCCTGAGCCCGCTCACGGGGAGGGCGAGGTAAAAATGCCTAAATGCCTAAATAAATAAATCAAATAAAAAATAATATCAAAAGTGATAAAAGCAGATATTGATAATGATATTTGTCTAATGATATTTGTTTGCTAATAATATTTGGCTTCTCCAGCCGCCCTGCCAGGAGCCGCACAATATATACAAAAGAGCCACATGTGGCTCCCAAGCCACAGTTTGGCCACCCCTGTCCTATGAGAAAAGGCTGAAGGAGCAGGGTATGTTTAGCCAGGAGAGGAGACGACTGAGAGGTGATATGATAACTACCTTCAAGTACTTGAAGGGCTGTCATATAGAGGATGGTACGGTGTGGTTTTCTGTTACCCCAGAAGGTCGGACCAGAACCAATGGATTGAAATTAAATCAAGAGTTTTTGGCAAAACATTAGGAAGAGCTTCCTGACAGAGTGGTTCCTCAGTGGAACAGACTTCCTTGGGAGGTGGTGGGCTCTCCTTTTTTGGAGGTTTTTAAACAGAGGCTAGATGGCCATCTGACAGCAATGCTGATTCTGTGAACTTAGGCAGATCATGAGAGGGAGGGCAGGCAGGGTTGCATCAGTGCTTAGTTCTTGTGACCCTTTTTTACATGGCCAGGGAAATGTTGATCACCACTTTGGGGTCAGGAAGCAATTTTTCTTCAGGCCACTTTGGCTAGGTATCCTAGAGGGTTTTTTGCCATCTTCTGGGCATGGAACAGGGGTCACTGGGAGTGCGTGTGGGGGGGGAGGTATTTGTGAATTTCCTGCATTGCGCAGGGTATTGGACTAGATGACCCTGGAGGTCCCTTCCAACTCTATGATTCTATTTTAAAAAGTTTAATGTGGAACACTAATTGATTAGTTCCTTCCAATTAGTGCAGGATCAAGGCACTACACATTACAAGAAATTGTTTTATAAAGAGTGACTAAATATGCAATACAAGGGTAGAAGAAAAGTGAGTGTCGGGGGACTTACCAAAACAAATATATAAAAATAGAAGGGATTTATAGAAACTGTTTTTGATTATACAAAACATATATTGTAAACTCTTTAACTGCACAACTTTGTAATAACTTCTGTAATTTCAGTTACAGAAGGTTTACATAGAAGGCTACCAACACACTGCAGTTAAGAGAACATAGGAACATAAGAGAAGCCATGCTAGATCAGGCCAATGGCCCATCCAGTCCAACACTCTGTGTCACACAGTGGCCAAAACCCAGGTGTTATCAGGAGGTCAACCAGTGGGGCCAGAACTCAAGAAGCCCTCCCACTGTGGCTCCCAAGCACCAAGAACACAGAGCATCACTGCCACATAGTGTTCCATCTATACATTGTGGTTAATAGCCACTGATGGGAAGGGCTGTGACTCAGTGGTAGAGCATTTGCTTTGCATGCAAAAGTTCCCAGACTTAATCCTCAGCATCTCCAGCCAAAAGTATCAGGTAGGAGGTGATGTGAAAGACCTCTGCCTGAGACCATGGAGAGCCGCTGCCAGTCAGAGTAGACAATGCTGACTCCGATGGACCAGAGGTCTAATTCAGTATAAGGCGGTTTCATGTGTTCATGTGACTAGTTGAGAACTAGTGTCCAGCAGTGGTTCAAGTGCTGAACTAGGATTCAGGAGACCCAGGTTTACATCCTCATTGTGTCATGGAAGCATGCTGGGTGACCTTGGGCCAGTCACACACTCTCAGCATTAACCTACCTCACAAGGTTGTTGTGAGGATAAAACAGAGAACACAAGAATGATTTAAGCTGCTTCAGGTCCCCATTGGGGAAAAGGCAAGGGTACAGATGAAGTAAACAAAAAATAATACAGTTAGTGGTGTGTGGAATCCAAAGCATTTAAAATACAAAGAAAGTACAGTGCCCAGTCCAAGGCCAGCTGCTGCTACCAAGTCACTTAATCAGGATACAGAAAACACTTATCTAAAGAGCAATGATCCTGCCATTGATCTTGACAGAGGGAATGCACCACACTATTGTTGCCCAAGGAACACAAGGCAAAGGTTTTGAGAGAAGCCATAAACGAGAGACATAACACATGCTTTGTAGATCTCGGGCTCTGGGGAAAAGATCTCTGCCCTAGACCTTGAAGGGCTCTGTCAGTCAGGTTAAACAGCCCTGACTTAGTAAAGGGCAGCTACTGACACAGCATTAACTCCAGACACTGGGCAAGCTCTTCTCTGAGCGAGTCATGCCTGTACCTGACAGAAACCTGCAGCATGCACAGGGGGGGGGGGGGGGTTGGCGTGACTTTTCCCGGCTCTCGAAGATAGTCTGCTCTGATAACAGGGGGTCCCAGAACTGACAGGCAGAGCACGAACTGCAGCGGCTCAAAAGCCGCACACGCCACCGCCGGCGAAAGGGGGACAAGCAAGGGCAAAGGCCCCCCTCCGCGGTCCAGCCCAGTGCAAGCAGCCCTCATCCCTACGTAGGAGCCCACGGGCTCGGGGAAGAGAAAGCACACCCACTCCACCCCCCTCCGGCCGCTCTTCGCGCGAAGGACCCGACCGAATGAGGCGAGCCCTCATATCGGCCTCCGCTCAGCCTGAAGGACACCCAGCGGCGCCCCCCGCCCCCAGCCAGCCCCGTACATCAAGAACACCCGGCATCTACCTCAACCAGCCTCCTCGCCCAGGCGGCGCTTTTACGTCCCTTTTGCGGCTGCCGTAAACAAGAGCAGGCGATGGTTGCTTAGGAAAAGGGAGCACGACAACCGACAGAGGCGGGAGTGCGCCGGGGATGGTGGCGGGTCGAGGAACGCGCATGGGCGGTGGGGAGGCGTCGGCTGTGAGTGCGCGCTCATCTTTCATCTATCTCGCTCAGTCCCGGCGGCTCCCGTCAGGCTTTCCCTTAGAAGGGAGGCGGCCATGGCCGGAGGGACTGCGAGGTGATGAGGGAGCCGCGGGAGAGAGCGGGACGGTAAATAACGCGCCTCCTGAACCCGGCGTGGGAGGGTCGAGTTTCAGTGTGTTCTTAGGAGGGAAGAGGAGGCGGAGGACGGGGTCATCTCAGGTGCCAGCAGCCGGGGAAAGGAGGACAGAGCCGCCTTTCCCCCTCTCTCTCGCTGTCAAGCGGAGTGCTTGCGAAACACTCACTTAGCGCAGAGTGCAGAAGACGCTTTGACTTTAATAGTGGCGTGGCGGAGAAACATTCAACAAGTGAGGTTTCCTCACTGTCACGTCTTCAAGCGGGGAAAAGTTCCCATGTTGATTTTCTGACCTTTGTGCAGCTGTTAAAAGGAGCAGGGAGTTGTGCTTTTGCCTGTCATAACACCAAGCTGCTTCAAACATAGTCAGCGAGGGCCTCACTTTCTACCCTAGGATCAAACACAAGGAAAGTTCCGGTTTTAGTATGACTTGCCACAGTGAATGGTTTTGCATCTCTTAAGCCTCTGGTTTGTAATCAGATAACTGTGCTTGGCAACAGTTCATTGCCATTCTCTACAGGCTAATCTGGTGGCTCTGTTCTATGTTATGCTGTCCTGTCCTGCTTGAAGCTGTCTTTAGGCTCCATCCCATTTTCTAGGGGAGTAGCCAAGTTGGTCTTTCCAGCCAAAAGTACCCCCCAAAAAAAGTCCTGTGATGGCAGCTTAAAGATGAACACATTTATATCCTTTTGTAAGCTAGAGCCAGGTTTGTCAAAAGCATGAAGTGTTATAGTCAGCACAGAATTTTATGCCCAAACAGAGGGGCATGAGAGATACTGCAAAGAGAGATCAGAAGGTCCTGGAGGTATGAAGGTTGCTCAGTTGAAAATAGGATCCAGTTGAAAGCATAAATGATCCAGAATAGTTTTGGACTGCTCCAGTCGTTGACAACTTTGAGTAGTGTATATAAGCCTAAAAGAATGAACGCTTACTCTTTGTAGCGATCTTACAACAGTCCGTATTGAGTTCAACAGTATAAAATCTATGTATGAATTTCAGTTTAAAAAATTTATGAAGTATTCGCAACCTCTTAAGTCTATTATTGAACATCCAGAGATATTGAAATGTTCCCCACTGCTTTCTAAGTGTCTCTGTTTTTAATGTGCAATGTCTCCATTTATTCTCATGTACAGAGACTGTCCAGTATAGCCATTGTAAATTTTAGAGGGGCATTGCTGGCACACACCAACATATGGAGGAAGAAAAAATGGGCTGCACCCAGCAATGTGCCAACAGAACAAAAAGGAAAAAATGACAGGTGATAATTGACTGATTTACGGTTATACAAAGTCCCTACGTGTTTGGCCATGCAGGCTTCATCAGGGAGACTCTATAAAAACATAATTTTACATTTAATACAAATAATAGAAGGACCCCTTAATAAAATTATTACAAAAGTATTAAAAATAATATTAATTAAACAGACAGGATCAAAATTAGTTCCAAAAATAGATACGTTTTAACCCTCATGGGTTAAATTCTGATCTGGGACTTCTGATCTTGCTCAGTTAATCTGTACATTAAAAAACGCTGCGTCATTCTCCAGTAGTAAAAGAACTTAATTGCTGTGGACCGTTCCACAACTAGGTGAATGCTCTGGTCAGTATTTGTTCCATATATTATATATTTTATTGTCTTGTTTCTTGCCCAATGTATAGTTTATTTATCTTATATTGTATATTGACTAATATGTATTTACTAATATGTTCTATATTGACTAATATGAGAGCAGACAATTATAATCTATCCTGTCATGTTTCTGCCTAGGGATGGGTGGCTTCTAGATGTCTAAATAGCCTGTAACCTAAGAGGATCTTAGACCTGCAGAAACAAAGAGGCATAGGCTGCTACCCGAAAAACACTCATGGGATCAGGTCCTACTGGAAGAAAAGAGTAGACCTGCTTAGGTTTGCTGCCTTAGAGTTCCATAATGTGTGCACAGGCAAAAAAAGGGGCCCAAGTAAAAGCCCATGTAAAATCTCAGGGAAAAGGAAAAGCATGTGGAATTTGCTAAGCAAGGCAGGACTGAGTACAAAAGGGAGCTGACACTCAAGGTACACAGGGAAGTGGAAAGCAGCAACGGACAGATAACAAGTTGTGGGATGATTGCAGTTTAACATACAGGAGCTGGGGAATAATAGAAAACAATGCATTTGTTGTTCCCGAAGGGGAGGGGAAATGTCAGTGAGTAGCTTCTTGATTCTCTACAGATGTTGTGGAGCGAGTTTCTAAGCCCTTGGGAATATCTTCAAATTAGGAAAGAGAAGTCTTTTTTTATATAAAGATTTTATTGTTTTTCCATTACTACAACATTCAAACTACTGGAGTGGGGGAGTGGAACACTAATAAACTACAATTCTACTAGGATTGGGGGAGTGGAACTAACAGGTGACACAATCTGAATTACATGAATATTTAGCTATATCACCTACTAATATAAAGATAGCATTACAAATAAAAGTTTGAGAATAAAAAATTGCTTTAGATATAATTTAAACAAAAACTGCATAGACATCTATCTTAGTTTTAGAGTCTTTTCTTCTTGCGTTTCTTCCTTGTCCGGGGTTTGGGAGCGGCTTCTCCTTTTTTAGATTCTGAAGTCTCTGAAGATTTAGAACTAGCACTTGTTGAATCCTGTGAGTAGGATTCTTCATCTTCCTCCTCCTCCTCCGCAGAAAGTTTTCTTTTCTTTTTTATTTTGCATTGGCTTTGAAAATTGAGACATGAACTTATTTGCTTTAGGAACAGTGTCAATCTTAAATCTTTTGTCCTCATAATTGAAACTCAGTCCTTCAGGGAATATCCATCTATAGGGTATTCCCTTTTTTGTAGAAAGAGAGTAAGTTCCTTATAAAGTCTCCTTTTCTTCCTCACTTCAAAGGGGATATCTTTCAGAATTTTTACATCTTTGTTTTTGATTTTTAAAGCCTTCCCCATCGTGGATTTTAGCACCAGATCCCTGGTAGATCTTTTCATGAATTTCAAATAAATTCCTCCTGAGAGTTTGCTTTTCTTTATGAAGTTCGGATAAATCCTGTAGGCCAAGTCCATCTTGTTCAGTAATTCTTCTCATTTGTAATCCATTAGTGATACAAGGGCGTCAACTATAAGTTCCTTTAAATTCTCATTTTTTTCTTCTGGAATCCCCTGGAAATGTAGGACATATGTGGATCTTTCCAGCTGGAGCTGTATTATTTGTGATTTGTCAGAAGATCTTTCTTTATCCGCTTCATCCATTCTTTTGTTAATACTCTCAGTCTTTTTCCCCATCCTTTTTATTGTTTTCTCTGTAGCTGAGGTTCTTTTATCCATTTGAATCAGTTGGTTTTAGACAGTGTCCAGTTTAGTGTTGAGATTAGTCATCTGCTCCATTAGAGGGCACAATGCATTTGCTAGTAATGTTGAAAAGTTTGTATTTACTTCCTGATTCCAGGAGGGAGTCGTTGGTTGATTATTTCCGGAGAGTATTTTTTTTTCTCCGGCATCGTTTTCCGCCCTCTCCCCGCCATAATATCAACAAGAAGTAAGTTTTCCAAAACAAGATAAAAGTTCAATGATTTTAGTCAGCTTTATACTAGCATGCAGTTTCTGACTTCGTTAAGATTTTCTTTGGTTTAGATTAGCTTAAAGTCTATTATTCTTGATTTAAAACTGCTTTTCGGGTTTTTCTGGAAGGGAGGGGGAATTTTGAGTTCTCCCTCAACCCACACTTTGTTCATAGGCGCTTCTAATTTCTACCGAGGCTCATGTTCGCTTTGTGACACTTGAGCGTTGCTTAACTCACGTATTGGAGCCTTGGGCATCTGTCAGAAGCATTTTTTAAAACTTTCTATCGTGTCCACTTGCTACGGCACTCGTCTCTAGTCGCCATATTGGCTCTACAGCGACGGGACCTTACAGGGAAAAGGTAAGCCTCAGTTCCTTGGCCGTCGCCTTGGAAGAGGCTCTCCTCAGCTCCCCAGGCTAGGGGTCTCCTACAAAGACCCCGGGAGGGCCCGGGACCGTCTCGGACCCTTCCCGTCAGCCAAGTCTCGGCGTGTCTCCATTAGAGCTAGACGGGACACGTCCAAGCAGCAAAACGCTGAAACCAGAAGTCTCAGGAAAGAGAGAAGTCTTGAGGTGGCCTTAGTTATTTTATCAGCATGTGGGATGTCATGTGAGAGGAGAAAATCTTGTTAATTAGAGGATAGCATCATTAGGATCACCTTGAATGTGACAAAAGCATCAGAGTATTTTGTTAAGAGTACCTAGACTGGGCCAAGACTGTTTGCTGTATGTCAGGATCCCTTACCATAATCTTCAGTGTATAGATTGTAATGGATTTTTCATTTTGAGCTTAGTTAGTATGATGTCTAGCTATTTGCATTTGGGTAAAAAATAGTCGCCACCTGTATCCTCTTCAGGTTCCCAATTCTCGACACTTATTTGGGAAAGAAAGCAATGGATTGAGGCACTGATTTATCTTCCTACTGATATGGATCTTAGTTCAGTACTTGCAGCAGCAAATAAATGACCAAATAGATGCTCAGTCAACACCTTAACATGGAAAATAGGTGGGGGGATAGAACCAGCAAGCCAAACATATTTAAAAGTTTTGGAAACACAAGAAGAGCCCACTGGCCAAAGCCCTCCTCCTGCCTCTTAGCTCTGGTATTCAGAGGTCTGCTGCCTCTAAATATGGAGGTTCCCATTAGTCACCCTTTAGTCACCATGGCTAGTAGCCATTGGTGGATCAATTTTGTCTGTTCTGATCTAATTCCCATCTGTGCTCATGGCCATCACTGCTTGCAGTGAATTCTGCAATCTAATTATTCATTGAGTAAAGAAGTATTTCCTTTTGTCTGTTCTGAACCTATTGATCATTAATTTCATTATGTGCTTTTGACTTAGGGTTGCCTGGAGATCTCCTGATATAATAATTGATCTCCGGGTGACTAAGATCAGTTCCCCTGGAGAAAATGACTGATTTTGAGGGTGGACTGTATGACATTAT